AGAGAAGTGAAACTGTCACTCTCTGCAGATGACATGATTTTATATATAGAAAATCCTAAAGAATCCACTAAAAAACTTTTAGAAATGATAAATGAATACAGTCAAGTTGCAGGATACAAAATCAACTACAAAAATTGGTTGCATTTCTATACACTAACAATGAAGAAGCAGCAAGAGAAATTAAGAATACAATTCCATTTACAATTGCAACAAATATAATAAAATACCTAGGAATAAACTTAACCAAAGAGGTGAAAGATCTGTACACCAAAAACCATAAAACATTGTTGAAAGAAATTGAAGAAGACACAAAGAAATGGAAAGATATTCTGTGCTCTTGGATTGGAAACATTAAGATAGTTAAAATGTCCATACTTCCTAAAGCAATCTATAGATTCAATGCAATCCCTATCAAAGTTCCAACAACATTTTTCACAGAAATAGAACAAAGAATCCTAAAATTTATATGGAACAACAAAAGACCCTGAATAGCCAAGGAATCCTGAGAAAAAAGAACAAAGCTGGAGGTATCACACTCCCTGATTTCAAAATATACTACAAATCCATAGTAATCAAAACAGCATGGTACCGGCGCAAAAACAGACACACAGATCAATGGAACAGAATCAAGAGCCCAGAAATAAACCCACACATTTATGGACAGCTAATATTCCACAAGAGAACCAAGATATACGTTTGCAAATATCTTCTCCCAATTGTTAGGTTTATATCCAAGGGGTTAATATCCAAAATATACAAAGAACTCATACATCTCAACAACAAAAAACCAACAACCCAATTAAAAAATGAGCAAAAGATGTGAACAGACATTTCCCCAAAGAAGATATATGGATGGCCAACAGGCATATGAAAAGATGCTCAACATCATTAGCTATCAGTGAAATGCAAATCAAAACTATAGAGAGATATAACCTCGCTCTGGTCAGAATGGCTATAATTAAGAAGACAGGAAACAACAAGTGTTGGGGAGAGGATGTGGAAAGAAGGGGACCCTCATACACTGCTGGTAGGAGTGCAAACTGGTGCAGCCACTATAGAAAGCAGTATGGAGAATCCTCAGAAAATTAAGAACAGATCTACTGTGGGGCCAGCCCCGTGGCTGAGTGGTTAAGTTCGTGCGCTCTGCTCCAGCAGCCTAGGGTTTCACCAGTTTGAATCCTGGACACGGACGTGGCACCACTCATCAGGCCATGCTGAGGTGGCATCCCACATGTCACAACTAGAAGGACCCACAACTACAATATACAACTATGCACTAGGTGGCTTTGAGGAGAAAAGAAAAAATACAATCTTAAAAAAAAAAAAAGAATTGATCTACCATATGATCCAGCTATTCCACTGCTGGGTATTTATCCAAAGAACTGGAAAACACAAATGCATAAATATACACACACCCCTGTGTTCATTGCATCATTATTCACAATAGCCAAGACTTGGAAGCAAACTAGATGCCCATCAAAGGATGAATGGATAAAGAAGATGTAGTATGTATACATAATGGACTACTACTCAGCCATAAGAAATGATGAAATCCGGCCATTTGTGACAACATGGATGGACCTTGAGGGTATTATGCTAAATGAAATAAGTCAGAGGGAGAAAGTCAAATACTGTATGATCCCACTCCTAAGTAGAAGATAAAAACAACAACAAACAAACACATAGCAACAGAGATTGGGTTGGTGGTTACCATAGGGGAAGGGGAGAGGGAGGAGGGCAAAAACAGTGATTACTCTCACATGTGAGGTGATGGACTATAATTAGTTTTTGGTTGGTGAATATGATGTTACCTACACAGAATTTGAAATATATTATGATGTACATCTGAAAGCTATATAATGTTATAATCCAATGTTACTGCAATAAAAAAAATAAATAAATAATAAAAAAATACAGGTCATATATGACAAACCCACAGCCAACGTCGTACTCAATGGGGAAAAACTGAAAGCCATCCCTCTGAGAACAGTAACAAGATGAGGATGCCCACTATCACCACTCTTTTTCAACGTAGCACTAGAGGTTTGGGCCAGAACAATTAGGGAAGAGACAGGAATAAAAGGAATCCAACTAGGGAGTGAAGAAGTGAAACTCTCACTGTTTGCAGACAACATGATCTTATATACAGAAAACCCTAAAGAAGCCATCAGAAAACTATTAGAAATAATTAACAAATACAGTATAGTTGCAGAGTACAAAACCAACTTACAAAAATCAGTTGCATTTCTATACTTTAATAACAAGCTCACAGAAAGAAAACTCAAGAATACAATTCCATTTACAATCACAACAAAGGAATAAAGTATCTAGGAATAAATTTAACCAAGGTGAAGGACTTATACAATGAAAACTATATGACATTATTGAAAGAAATAGATGATGACAAGAAGAGATGGAAAGAGATTCCATGCACATGGACTGGAGAATAAACATAGTTAAAATGTCCATACTACCCAAAGCAATCTACAGATTCAACGCAATCCCAATCAGAATCCGAATGATGTTCTTCACAGAAATAAAACAAAGAATCTAAAATTCATATGGGGCAACCAAAGACCCCAAATTGCTAAAGCAATCCTGAGAAAAAAGAACAAAGCTGAAGGCCTCACAATCCCTACTTCAAAATGTACTACAAAGTCATAGTAGTCAAAACAGCATGGTACTGGTGCAAAGACAGGCACACAGATTAATGGAACAGGACGGAAAGCCCAGAAATAAAACTGTACATCTATGGACAGCTAATCTTCAACAAAGCTTCCAAGAACATACGGTGGAGAAAAGATAGTGTCTTCAATAAATAGTGTTGGGAAAACTGGACAGCCACATGCAGAAGAATGAAAGTAGACCGTTATCTCATACCATACATAAAAATAAACTCAAAATGGATCAAAGACTTGAAGATAAGTCCTGAAACCATAAAACTCCTGGAATATAATATAGGTAGTACACTCTTTGACATTGAACTAAAAAGGATCTTTTCAAATACCATGTCTTCTCACACAAGGGAAACAAAAGAAAAAATAAACAAGTGGGACTTCATCAGATAAAGAGCTTCTGCAAGCCAAAAGAAACTAGGATATAAATACAAAGACAACCCACCATTTAAGAGAAAATATTTGCAAATCATAGATCTGACAAGAGGTTAATCTCCATAACATATAAGGAACCCACATAACTGAACAACAAAAAGACAAAAAATCCCATCAAAAAATGGGCAGAGGATACAAACAGACATTTTTCCAAAGAAGATATACAGATGGCCAACAAAAACATGAAAAGATGTTCAACATCAGTAATCATCAGGGAAATGCAAATCAAAACTACACTAAGATACCACCTTACACCTATTAAAATGGCTATAATCACTAAGACTAAAAACATGAAATGTTGGAGAGGATGTGGAGAAAAGGGAACCCTCACACACTGCTGGAGGGAATGCAAACTGGTGCAGCCACTACTGAAAACAGTATGGAGATTCCTCAAAAAACTAAAAATAGGACTACCATACAACCCAGCTATCCCACTACTGAGTATCTACCCAGACAACTTGAAATCAACAATCCAAAGTAACATATGTACCCCTATGTTCATTGCAGCACTATTCACAATAGCCAAGACATGGAAACAATATAAGTGCCCATTGACTGATGATTAGATAAAGAAGATGTTGTGTATGTATATATACACACACACACACACACACACACACACACACACAATGGAATAGTACTCAGCCATAAAAAAAGCCAAAATCATCTCATTTGCAACAACATGGAAGGACCTGGAGGGAATTATGCCAAGCAAAATAAGCCAGACTGAGAAAGACAAACACTATATGATTTCTCTCAAATGTGGTGTATAAACAAACATGCGGACAGAGAAAACAGTTCAGTGGTTACCAAGGGAAGGGGGGGGGTGGGCATAGGAGGTGAGTGGGAGCACTTCTGTGGTGACAGACAAGAAATAATGTACAAGTGAAATTTCACAATAACGTAAACTATTATGAACTCAATAAAAAAAATCAAAAAAACAAAGCACACTGGGGATAAATTAGAAGAATAAAAACAATTATAACCTAGAAATATTTTGGTAGTAGTGGAAGTGGTAGTAGTAATTGTAGTATTACTATCTAACATTTTTAAGCATTTTTCTATCAGTTAAGAATTGTGCTAAGCTCTGTATACATTTGACCATTTAATACTGGAAACAATTTATGAAGTAAGACTATTACTATCTCCATTTACAGATGAAGAAACACTTCCACAGAGAGTTTAAGTAGCTTGTCCAACATCAGGAAGTATGGTTGCTGAAAGATAAATTACAACAAGTTGAAGACAGAGAAAATCTGTATATGCAAAAAGAAAAGAAAGACTCTTTACAAAGTAATGAAAATCAGGCTGAAGGCAGACTTCCTATCATTAAAATAGAAAGCCAAGGACAATGAATGTCTTAAAGTGCTGAAATAAGAGAGATATCAACCTAGAAATCCACACCCTAGTCTATCTAATGGGGAAGATAAAATATTTTCAACTTGCACTGAAAGAGCTATTAAGGACAGACCTCAGTAAAAGGGAAATGGGAAGGATATGCAAGAGCAATAGTGAGCAAAGATATTGCTAAATATGGTAAGTGTACATCTGCATTGACCACTAAAAGTGACAATGATTGGTTTTATTGTAGAGAATTAAAAACAAGATCAGATAAAATAAAAAAATGGGAGAGGTAAATCAGTTAAAATTTTCTAAGTCTTCGTATCATTAAAGAATAGAATGGAAATATTAATTTTAGTCTTTAGTGAAACAAATGTGAAACAAATAGCTACATTTGAAAATGTAAGCATGAATATTAAAAGAACAGAAAGAGAGTTTGTACTTTCAAGTTAGCAATGATAAAATGGGATATAAGAAAATTTTGATCCATCTAGTAGAAGCCAAGACATAAGGTTATACGCAGAAAAATATTTGATAAAATTCAACACAGTGCTCGCTTCGGAAACACATATACTAAAATTGCAATGATACAGAGAAGATTAGCACGGCCACTACGCAAGGATGACATGCAAATTCTTGAAACATTCCATATTTTTCTGATTCTGGTCAAGAGCTGTATTCACCAGTTGGCTCAACATGCTAAAACAAACAAATCCTCCCCCCCTGGAAGTACAAGTCATCCACAGCTTCTGCCTTGGTTGCTTAAATTCTTCTATGTACACAAGCTATAAAATCACTGTTCAATGAGAAAAAAAATTCAATACAGATTGATAATAAAATAACACACTGAGAATACAGTGAAAAGTGTTTAATCTAATAAGGCACATCTCACAAACATTCAGCAAACATCACATTTAATGGTGAAATATTAAAATATTCTCTTTAGAATCAAGGACATTAAAATATGCCCCATATCACCATCCTTTTCCTCGTTAAATTACAGCTGTAGTGATCATAGTAAGACAAAATAAAAATTACAGCACTAAGGATTAGAAGACAAGAAACAAAATGTATATTATTTGCAGGTAGTATGATTACCTAGAGAATCCGGTAACATCTACAACCCAATTATTATAATTAACAAAAATGTTCAGCAAGTTTATTATCAAACAATCCTGCTGCAAAAAGTACAAAGCTGGCCTAAGTAGTTGATAGTAACAGACTGACACTGTCAGACAGCCTGTCATAAATACTTCATAATTAAATTCATAGAGGTTTTCATAAAATCCATAAATCATTCTGATGATTCCAGGCAACGTGCTCAAAGGCAGGCTGTCTAGATTTGCCTCTTTGCTAGCTAAAAGGTACTTATCAATGACAGGAAAAGCAAGAATCAAGTGATCCCAGACCTTAATAAATCTCTTTTTGCATGTGTTCACTAATAATAGTCTAATGATTGTGCCCATTGTGTATGAGTAAATTTGCATGTAGATAAATTACTAAATGTCCCCTAAATTATTCTTTCCTATCTGGATGTAAGATAAATTTACAAAATAGTATGCCTGCAAGAAACCATACAAAATGTAATTTTAAAACCATGCCACTAACGCTAACAAAACAATAAAGAAGCAAAGAGTAGATCTACCAAAGATGTACAAAAACTTTAAAGAAAATTATGAAACTTTATTGAAGCACATAAGCAAACACTTAAATAATAGAGAGACAAACTATATTCATGGAAGAGAAGTCTCAATAACAGAGAGATGGCCATTTTTCCTCATATTAATTTTTAAACTCAATATAACTATAGCCAAAAATCTACCAAGGTTTCCATGAAACTTTAAAAGTTTACCTTAAAATAAATATGGATATCTATCTAAAGAGCCCAAAATAGCCAATAGTGCCAGAGCAAGAAAAATAGGAGGAGAAACTTGCCCAACCAGATAACAGTCTTTTAAAACTCCATACTACTTAGGGGCCGGCCCCGTGGCCGAGCGGTTAAGTTTCGCGCTCTGCTTTGGCGGACCAGGGTTGCGCCAGTTCAAATCCTGGGCGTGGACATGGCACCACTCATCAGGCCATGCTGAGGTGGTGTCCCACATGCCACAACTGGAAGGACCCAAAACTAAAAATACACAATTATGTACCAGGGGGCTTTGGGGAGCAAAAGGAAAAAAATAAAAAATAAATTTTAAAAAATCCATACTATTTAGAATAATCTAATAATGACAGAAGATAGACAAATATAGCAAAGACATAGACATAGAATAAGAGCCTAGAAAAAGACCGTTGCATGTATACCAACTTCCTATATTATAGAGAGAGTGTTACAAATCAGAAGTGGAACATGACTGTTAGATAAATTAGGTGAGGAAAATGTGATATCTATACGGAAAAGATTTGACTTATGTCCCTACTCATATCAATGAATTTAATGATGTCTTACAGAAAAGCAATTCTATTCCCATGTATGTATGTATGTGGCTTTTAGAAAAATCTCAAATATCTTCAAATAGAAATGTGTGCTATCATTGTACAATCACTGTAAATCGCTGTAATAGCAAAAAGAGAATTAGAAACCACTTAATCAACTCCCAGTGGGAAACTGGATAAATATGCTGTGGTAAATTCATACAGTGAAATTCACACACTGTACTTTTATACAGCAAAGATGAACAAATTAGGTCTGTGTGTATGAACACAGATAAATCTCAATAACGTAATGCTGTTCAAAATGCAAGCTGCAGAGCTATGGATGTAGTATGCAGATTTTGAAACATACAAAGTACTGCTATATTTATTACAGACAAATATGTAATAAAATTATATAAAATTGGACAGAAAAGACATATACAAACTTCATAACAGTAGTTATTAGGGAGAGATGAAAGGAAAGGAACTCTGAACTTATACAAAAGGATTATAATAGTATCTGTAATGTTTTAGTTCTATAAAAATCCATAAAGAAAATATAGAAAATTTTTAAATTTCTTAAATTTATGTCATGCACACTTATTATAGTTCTTTTGAAACTATACAAAATATTTTATAATTTTTAAATTTTCTTAAAATATAGTAAGAGATAGTCCGTGTATTCTGTTAAGGCAGGGATTTGGGGCAGTTTTTCCCTCCATTGCTGTATCTCCAGCACTAAGAATAATTTAAGATATGTAATTTATACTAAAAAATACGTGCTGAATGAATACATAAATGAGAAATTACATGGGCCATAGATGCAAAGAGAAAGGAACAACTAACCAATTAACTCTGTTCGGTATAGATCTTCAAGACTACTTTTTGTGAAGCTTTCCATGGACACCACCTAAACGTTCTCCTCTTTTTCCCCTCCTCTTTCTCTGCTTCCTCCTCCTCCTCATCTTCTTCCTCCTCCTCCTCTTTCTGCTTCTTCTCCTTCTTCCTCTCCTTCTCCTTCTCCCCCTCCTCCTCCTTCTTCTCTTCCTCCTTTTCCTTCTCTCTCTCTCTCTCTCTATCTCCCTCACCCCTCTACTCCATTCCCCTACCCCTGATCTTCCTTACAGCTTGAATTCCCCTAAGATAACTGCTATGTGTTATGTTCTACAGAGGTCTATGTCAGCATCTCATTTCACCACCAGATTTTAAGCTCCTGGGGCATGGAATCTGACTATTTTGTTTGGTCCTGGCTCCTGGTACAATGTTGCGCATAGTAAAAAAAAAAAAAAAAGATGAAGAAACATTGAGTATGAAAAGATGAGCTGAATCTATGCCAGTTATGGCTCTAATATCTCTGACAGTTCTACCCTGAAATTCTTCAATAGAGTCTTAGCATAGGGTGGCCTAAGTGGCAGAAGCAAGTCCCAAGAGTGTTCCAAGATAGAAAATGGAAGTATAGTGCTGAGTGATAATCCCAGAACTGAGAAGGATAGAGAGAGATCCTCTCAGAAGAAATGTCTCAAGAACTCAGCCTTGGGGGATGAATGGGAAAATAGTTGGGGAGAGTTTCTCACGGTATTTAGAATGGGAAGTGAACTATGAGTAGAAGTATTTTGGAGGCTCTGGGCTTGAGAATGTAACTAGATTGAAAGGATTCTGTGAGAAAAGAAAAGACATAAGAGCTTGAAATAGTTCTCTTCATGAAACCTCAAGTATCTCATCTGGAGAATAAAAAGAAATCCTTCCTATTGGCTCTGTGGCTGTTGGAGCTTTGACATGAATGTGATAACACCTTTTACTCTCACATCCAGTTTACGAGATTGGTGAAGGTATGTTTCTCCAGGATAAATATGACCTCCTTCCAGGGAAGATATGCAGATCCAGAGTGAGTCAGGAACATACAGAATCCTACTTAGTTGTCTTCAAACGAGATCATTTCTTCCAGCCTCCACCACCTTCCCTAGCTCCAGATAAGAGGGACAGAAAGAACATAGCTTGAAAGGTTATTTCACGTCACTGCTAAGTTATCCACAGACAAGATGAAGTCCCGGAATGACTCCCCCAGCCTTCAACCATACTTTCTTCAGACCTCCCTCCCCAAGACCCTCAGTTATCTCTCACCCCCATTCCTGGCTACTCCAAAAATAAGCCTGGACTCTTTTTATCTAAAAGTTATGTTGCTGATCTCTAGGAAGGAAGATCTCAGAGGACAAAAATCACCAACTTTGGAAAGGTACTGAGGTGTCAGAGTTTCCAAGAAATTTTTCAGCCTAGTTCCTTGCCTGAGGCTGCTGATGATCTTGGAGGAGACCCCTTAGAAGATCCATGACAAAGAGCTCAATCTCCAGAGAAGAACACAGAAAATCTCTCCTCTCCACTCAGTGCATGCTCTTCTATATGTCCTGAAGACCTCCTCCCTAGGACTAAAGGTACTTCGGGGCACAACAGTGAGGACTGGAGCCCACACAAGTTTCTTCCTGGTCTTAGGTGAGTCATGTACTTCTCAGGGCCTTCTATCATGAGAGTTTCCTCATGTGCCTACTGCTTCCCACTTAAAAGTACGTTAAGTATTTTATTACAATGTTTCCTACAGTTTTAAAATAAAATGCAAGACCCTTTTAAAAATCCTATCACCCATCTATAATTTATTTTTTAATTGAATTACTAATTCACCTACTCATCAAACTCTTATTGAGTGTATTCTATGTGCCTGAACTGGGATAGGTACTATCCGTACAACAATTAAGAAGATACATCAAGGCCAGGAGTCTGCTGAGTTGTCTCCAAAGGAGACTTCACCTAGCATCCACCACCGGCCCCAGGTGCAGGTAAGAGCAACAGAAATAACATAGATTGAAAGGTTAGCTCATGCCACCAGTCAGTTAAGTTTTCCAGAGACACGATGAGGTTCTAGCATGGCTTCCATATTAGAGACATATTAACAAAGAAGTAATTATAATCCAGTAATTATAATCAGTGCCATATTGGGGAGAAATTCAGATATCTATTGGCACACAAGTTAGGGCCAGCTAACCTACATTTGAGAGAATGAGGAAAATCTTTTTGGAGAAAGTGCCATCTAAAGTTAGAACTAAATGATGACAAAAAGTAAGAAGAATTAAAATAGAGAATCATATAGAATGAACAGGTGAAAATTCCAGAGGTAAGAGAGAGTATGGCAAGCATAAAAGTAGCTAAGTATGGCTGGTGTTTAGAAGAGAAAGTGAGAAGTCACAAGACATAG